CTTGGCTGGGCCTGGTTTTGAGTGGCTGGGCAGCAGGATGTAGTTATTCCCCTTGGTGAGATTGGTAAACAACTCCATGGTGGAATCTACTAGAGCAGCTAAGTAGCTGCCTTAGGGATGTGATCTGCTTCTAGCATAGAAGCAGCAGCTCTTAGGAAGGTCTCAAGCTTTTGGCACAGTTGAATCCTGCACATAGCCAAGTAGTTGTTCAGCAGCCTACCATGTTGTCTGCCAATCTCGGGACTCTAAATGGAATTGATTCAATGGCCTGCTGTGTGGTTTGGTAATATTGGGACTATGCATTTGTACTTGTCAACCTTGGGTTTGTCAGCCTCAGCAGCCAGCAGGTAGGTGCCTGAGTGAAGAAAGCCTCCAGCTTCAGTGGGCTGGAAGCAAGAGGCAGAGCTGAAGCCTTAGGTTGAGGGGATTTCACCCAGCCACTAAAGCTTGGCACTTTGAACTTGGACTTCTAGCCTCTAAAACTCTAGGAGAATAACCTCTTGTTTGTTCAACCCATCCCATTTGTGGTACAAATTCTGTTACAGCAGCACGAAGTAACCCAACAGTCCCTGTCCTCACAATACATACAGCACACAAAGTCTGCATATCATGTTATGATTTTAGGAATCATGGATCTTGAAAAACAATCCATGAATTCAGTGCTAGGGGAGTAAGTAGAGATGAGCTTCAGAGAAGAGACAAAACTGAGTTGGATTTGAAGGATAAATTGGAATTGTACTGGCAATGAAAGTATTTAAGAGCATTATCGATGGAATAAACATTATGAAAGACTATAACAGATGTGTTTTACTTACCATTGTATTCCCAGTGTCTGGTCAATGTCTGAATCATAGTGTACTTAAAGATCTGCTGAAGGAGTATTTTGATAATATGTAAAGCCCTTGGTTGGATCTGTTGCATAATGGTTGAAAGGATTAACAAAACCTTTTCTCCTATTGCTTGAGAATCCGACTTACGGTTAGACCATCTAGCTCTGTTACCCTGGAAACTGGCTAAGATAGTAGGTGTCAACTATATTGCTAAGCGATTTGCTTATGGCAAAAATGACCCCTGTTGGTAACTTGCATCTGGATGAAGAGAAATTATGAATAACCTGTAAATATCTCATGAGGATGCCATGCTTTGGGGCTTTCTGAGTATAATA